GGCAGCGCGCCCCTCGGGGCGCCGTGTGCAGGGCCTGTCCGGGATAGGGATGGGGATGAGCGGTAGCAGGTGCAGGGGCCGCTTGTCACGCAGATAGCGAGCGAGTGAGCGACCCGGCGTTGGGACCGTCCCGGTATCGCCCCAGCCTGGCCGGGCGGTTACGTAACGTCCTGCGCAGGGAGCCCTGCTGGGGACAGAGCACTGCGTCCTCCTTGGCCCCGGAATCGTGGCGTGCTGTGGCACTCCAGGAGCGCAGCTTCGCTTTGCCAGGCAGGCAGGTCTTGGGGACCATGTTTCCCTTTACATCTGTTGTTCGCGGGGTAAAAGAACTCTAGGCAAGCACTGCATCCTTTCTGGTCTAAACAGTAGTTCTGAATCTTTCCAGTACTGGCTGTATGGAGCTGTGCGATTGAGTCTGCTGTCTGTATGCAAATGTGTTCTGTGTGTTGATACATTCTTCAGTACTTACTAGAAAGCAGAATGGGAGAACTGTGTTGACGACTAGCTTGTGACTAAAACTCCTCTTGCAGAAAATCGTTATTCCTTGTAATAAACAGTTTATAAATCCTTCTCAGTTAGTGTACTTTTGCAGTAGAACTTCAGCACAACGTACTGTTATCACATTTAGAAAAAGTCTTTGTTAAAGACAACTAAAGGCTGCGAAGTAGAGCCTCGTATCCTTCCATCTGCATCTTTAATTAGCAGTGTCATAAGCATTCCTTCTTCATTGTGTATGGTCACCTGTTACTTTGTCCTCAAGTGTTTTCAGTGTGCCTCATCTATATTGAAGATTATAATGTTGTATTCTTCTTTTCTATGGTCTCTGAAAGTGGAACATTTAATTACAATCTCCAGCTGCATTTCTTCACTTTTTTCCTTGGTGGAACAACTGTCATAGCTTTTCTTAGCAGGAGGGAATCAGACCTATGATTACGGTCCTGGAAGACCTCTGAAAGTTTCTTGCTGTTTGCTCAAGACTCTTGGCTATTCCTACTGCTTTCTGTTGAAGTTTCAGGTAGCGTCTTCCATGTGCAAAAATGAAGAGAGCTGCTGCTTTTTTAAGATCTTTTTTGTGGGCTCCACCCCCCCCCCCCCGCGTTTTTTTATGTTAATTTAGGTTGTGCTCAGCAATGATATAAAACTTGGTATAGAATTTATATTGATTTATGGATTGAAATAAAAAGGACACACTTTTTTCTCTAGGTTGTATGGGGTTATTTCAGTGTTAAAGCATGCTTTTATTAGTAGTGAAGATAAAACCTTAAGTGTTACTTCAGTGTTTCGGAACTGTAGTAGTGGATTAAAACTCTGCTGTGTGTTTAATGAATTAATGTTGGCTCCTAATTTCTTTTTTCTTTTTTTTTCTAACTGTTCTTTGGAAATGTCTCTCTCCTTCTTTTCTTCCAGGCCTAATGTTACAGTTCTTCTGATTGTGAGTGTGCAGACCAGAAGCTGAGGTGAGATATGCTGAAGTCTTTATACCTTTGTGGAAAAACCTTCTCTGAAGCTGTTACGGGATTTATTGCAAACAATGAGGAAATTTCTAATTGTTTTGCTTTCCTCTCTTCAGTGTGAAAACAAATAATGTTTGAGAAAGGAGGAGTGATTCAGAACAGAAAACGTGTATGCTATGGTTAGCTGGTTCCCATCATTCGAGAATCTGTTTTCTCATCGTGTGAAACTTTTTCAGCATCGGGATAAAGGATAACGACTCTATGGATATACAGAATTCTTCACCATGGTAAAACTCGCCAACCCGCTGTATACAGAGTGGATTTTGGAGGCAATCAAAAAGGTAAAGAAGCAAAAACAGCGTCCTTCGGAGGAGAGGATATGCAATGCAGTGTCGTCTTCACACGGTTTGGACCGCAAAACTGTTCTGGAACAGTTAGAGTTGAGTGTTAAAGATGGAACTATTTTAAAAGTCTCCAACAAGGGTCTCAACTCCTACAAGGATCCTGATAATCCTGGGAGAATAGCACTTCCGAAGCCTCGGAACCATGGCAAGTTGGATGGTAAACCAAACGTGGACTGGAATAAACTTATCAAACGGGCAATTGAGGGCTTGGCTGAGTCTAGTGGCTCATCCTTGAAGAACATCGAGCGCTTTCTGAAAGGTCAGAAAGATGTGTCTGCATTATTTGGAGGTAGTGCTGCCTCCATTTTTCACCAGCAATTACGATTAGCTGTCAAACGTGCTGTTGGCCATGGTAGGCTCCTTAAAGATGGACCTCTGTACCAACTCAACACTAAAGCAACCACTAATGCTGATGGGAAGGAGAGTTTTGAGTCTCTTTCCTGTCTCCCTCCAGTGTGTCTCCTTCCCCATGAAAAGGATAAGGTAAGACCCAGTTTGCGTGGGCGTTTTCTTGTGATTGATGTCAATACAATCGATTGTCTGTGTCAATACAGAGTCAGAATTTGAGGTCAATGATTTGTTTAACTTGCATCTTGTAAGTTAGAAATTACTAATGTGCATTTAGGATCCTACTGTGTCCAAATTTCTAAGTGTGATCAGAGGAAGCGTAATAGATCATAATTTGTACTTTGGACTTTGAAAACTGCAAATGAACTACTGTGGGGAATTTACCTCTTAACGTTTCTGTACAGCGGAATTGAATGTATGATAACAGGCTTACTATAGTTACGTTAGCAAAACATAGGAAGTAAGCCTCCTCCCTTTAAGGTGAGGTGGATTTGCAAAGCAAAGTTGAGATCATCACTTATTTTCACATTTTTGTTTGACTGCCAGTTCAGCTTCTTATTTGAATACACATAACATAGTGAAGCGCTGGTTAGTAATTGCCACCTAATGCTGTCATAGAGGCTTTCTTTGTTAACAATGAAAAAATCACTTTCTGTCCCAGAACAGCTTTGTTGTGAAATAGGAAGAAAAGGTATATAGGATATAGTAGTTGAAAAGAAGAGTGAAATCGGAGGACGTAGAGAGCATGGAAATTCTGGAATGTACACTCATGGACTTCTGTTCCCTTTTGTGTGCCTCCCCTGACCCTCCTTAAATATAGTTTGTTATACAAACCGAAGTATTTTTCTATTGTTTTCTCTTATTTTTATGCTTTTTTCCCCTCCTTTCTTCCATCCTTCTGCATGCCTAAGGGCTTTGACCCTCCACTCAAACCTCAAGATGAAGTTGTTGGGAGTGACATTCATACCTGGTCATTATCTTTCCTGTCCTTGTGCTACTGTGGAAGCAGAGTAAAACGGAAGTCTGTCTTTGTTTATTGAAGACCAATTTGCCAGTAATTCATATCTTTGCACTACTAGTCTCCAGGACTTCTACAATGTGAAAATTATTTTTTCTATCCATAATAGATACATTTTTCAGCAGTGTTGGAAATTTTTTGTTGTTGTGAATATCCTCTTCAGGGATGAGTTCTTTGAGTTTCCAGTCAGCTTCGCTCTCTGGTGAGAGGGTGGCTTTATGATCTATTAGGGTTTGAAGACTTAAAACTACTGTAGAAGTTGTCTTCCTTAAAAAAAAAAAAAAAAAAAAAATC